ACATGGAGGGTGGCTGAGAATCCTCGTCCGGAAGAATAAATGGGCTGCCACCTATCGAGATTGACCGCCCGAGCCCAAGTTGAGAATATGGATGCGGGAGGACAAACTCGGGCTCCGTATCGATGGGCCCCATCAGAGGTCTGCGCTGCGACACCTGTATCTGGCTTCTACTAGCCCTCTTTAACGTGGGCTTCTCCAGTATAGAAGGTGACGACGCGACCATCGTAGACTCAAGGTTAGAAAGATTCTCTTCTTGCTTTTCATCGCTGTCTAATCCAGGAGCTAATGCTGAGCGCCGAATTCGCGGTACTTGGAGACTACCACCAGAGCGTCGGCGATGCCGCCTAGGACCGCCATTATCATGCCCGGCATGCGGTGTACCGAGGGGTTTCTCCATTGATAGTGCATGCTGGGTTCGCAAATTTCCCGAGCTGAAACGAAGTCTCCTCAGATCCGTCTGGCTCTCAGCGAAGACGACGCGGGCGCGGAGTCTATGCGCTGCGTTGTCAAGGGCGAGCTCGATTGCACACCGATCGCGGATACGGCTCAGCTTGGGCCAGGTTGCTCGCGCGCCAGCCAAGGCCGAGCGCAGCATGAAGTCGGGCGTTGGGTTCTGCAGGATCTTGGGGACATCTTGGAGGTTCAGCTGCGGGAGGATAGTGATGTCTCCTGAATATTTTTGGCTAAGAATACTGCGGAACTTGGTGACCAAGTTGGGGAATATACCCAGCTCCGAGAGGAAGTGGAGGCGATGTAGGGCTTCATCCTTGGCCAGTGCTGTGAAGGTGCTGATCCAGTCAAAGTCGTCACTGTTAGTGGGCGCCTTGGGTCGTTCGCCCGGCATGAGGTCAGGCGACAGGTGGTCGTCCTTTGCAAGGAAGGGGACCACGTGCGGATTGACCTGAGATACAATGAAATGGTTCACGTTGAACATCTCGGCAAGTCGAGTCATAGGCAAGTCGTTGTCAACTGAGCCGTCGATCCAACGCTGGGGCGATGGATTCCACGGCTGGTGCTCGCCAGTTATGGGATCCTTGACAAGAATCTGCGATGAGTTGAAGAGGACAGGAACGGAGCACGAGGTGGCGACGGCGGACCAGATCAGCACATTTGGCGCTGTGACGTAGTTGAGCAGTCGCGGTAACTCGTAGACTGATGCTGTCGAGACGCAAATGTTCAGGATACGACGAGTGCGGTTGTACGCTTCTTGGAAGGTCAGGTCTCCGGTGAGTTCACGCATGACCCGAGTAAGATGTTTGATGTCAGACCAGCTACCTTCGGTGAGCAGTCGGCGCAAATTTTGCAAGACACCATCCTGACTGTTCTGCTCTTCAAAAACAGCCAGATCGCCGTATGGGAAGGTGTCCATCATTTCGGGCATCTCCTCGTCGGTACGTGTGCACAAGACAGAGCATACAATACTGCCAGCGCTCGCACCTGAGATGATTCTCGGAAGGAGTTTGGCTTCAAACAGAGTCTTCAAGACTCCAATATGTGACATGCCGAGGGTCCCGCCCCCAGAAAGAAGGAGCGCACTGCGGCCGAAGCTCTGTCGGGAATACAGCATCCCTTCCAGGAGATCCGTGTACTGTACGGAAGGGTCGTGTCGGCTCTGGGTGACGACTGCGTCGATGGTAGCAACGGCGGATTCGACATAGCGCTCAATGAGCCTCTTCGTGCCGGTGTACGAGTGTCGGTATAGCGAGACATTATCCATACCACCGAGGTCGCGGAGGAGAGCCGTCCTTATTAGATGCATCATGGATCCGATGTCGCAACTCGCCCTCGCCACGTCGAGTTCGCGCAACCGCTGCGCAATAAGTTCAGCGTTGTAGTCGGGACTCGAGTCCTCTTGTTTCCAGTCGTCATTGCCGTCGAGGGCGTCGAGATCTTTGGCTGCGGCCTCCCATTGCGCATGCGTCTCTGCCTGTGGACAAAAAAGTTAACTCCTATTTCCGTAGTGTGTGTCGCGAGACAAATACTTACCCCCTTCATGCGCAAACACAGGATTTGCCTCTTCTCGTCCTTTAACCTCTGTGCTTCCCGTTGTTCCGCGGTCATGCCATCTCTCAACGAGAGCCAAATGTCGCCGGCGGTCTTGAACGTATGGGTCAGAGCCCCAGTCACAGAGAGGCCGTAGCCGCTACGTAACTGGGGCGTAGACTTGGAATGCCTTAACGAGGACTTCGAGCTGCCATTGTGTCTGCGTGACGAGGGCGAAAGGATCGCATTGAGGGGGACAGAAGGGATCGTGGGTGGTTGGAGGATCAAGTCGGCCATTGTCGATTGATCTGGAGCAGCGAGGTTTCGTTCGTCGAGGGACCAAGTTGTAGGGAGGACTGGGCGATGGTCAAGGGAGGGCTAGGGCCCATCCTCGCCTGCTGTCAAATATATCGGAGGTTTTTATTTCCGTCGTCAACGATGGGGCATCAATGTTCAGATTCGGGTTCTAGGTAGGAGATGTCTGCTCGATCGAGTCAGGCGCGTGGGGTGCAGCGTCGTAGAAATATTAGATGGAATAATTTAATAGGGTCAATCAGGGTCGGGCTGTCATCGGCGAAGCATGGAGGTCTTTAAAATCGTGGAGCGGTCGGTGGGGTGAGGGAAGATGGAGAGGCCATGGTTGAAGTTGTAGGAAACAAGCCCGCGGCGTCGAGTGCTGGGATGGGCGATGTCAATGACGATGTAACCGCGCAGGGCAGGGCACTGCAGGCGAGACAAGGCTTAAAGACGGAGACAGGATTGGACGAGCGGAGGACAGGGACTGGGGTGTGATGTAGGTGTCAGTTAAGAATGGGCGGAACCGTAAAGAACGTGTGCAGGCGGCAGGCTGTAACCGTATTGGAGGGTGGGATGGAGGCGGTCAACTGGCCTGGTCAAGTGGTCTCGGGTGCTTTAGGGGGCTTTAGGGGGGCCTAGGTACGTACTTAGGGGGTTGCGTGGGGTTGGAAGGGGTGGTGCTGCCAAAGTTGGGGATGGCTTTGTGATCTGGGGGAAATCGAGATGGTGGGGTGGGTGGTCATGCTGACAGGGATGTCTCTGTGCTGGAATTCTTTCTTCTGCCTGTCGGCATGCCGAGTTGCGTGGATTATCACACGGAATCACGTACTGGTAACTAGTAATTGCCTCTCGTGGGGATGAGCTGGCTGCTGTGGGTATGGCATCTGGTATATGTATGTATGCCCAGCGTCCACAGCTCAAGTAATTTGCGAAATGAAGTCTTGTTTTACTTTCCTACACCTGTTCAAAGTGACTATTTAACCTTACGAGCCAGATAATCGAACCACGTCCCCAATTTTCCAACCGCCCCAAAGTCTGCAATTGTGGTTGCCAACCGTCAGCCCCTCGCATCACCCGCCTAACCTGTACCACCGCCCTCAACCCAGCTACACGACTCGAGAGACAAGACGAGTCAGCGCCGTTGGGAAATTGCCTCTCTCTGCAACATTTTCATGTGGAGAGCAAACACCTACGTGTATCAATATGAACAAGGGATGATGCCTGCCTGTGGGGCTCTCTTCCTGCCGTAGGATGGATCTGAGCCGCAAACTTCTCGTGCTCGCTCATGTGTTCAACCCATCTGATACAATATCACCTCCCATCTCTTCTCCGCGACCTCCCCCATGGGGGAAAAGGGTGCCTAGACCCCGAGAATTCGCGAGTTTCTGACTGAATATTGTTGAAATCGCTGCTGAGGCCCCACTGAACCTCAGCTGATGCCTCAAACCTTGCACCTGATTAGCATCCTCAGAGCCCTGTCCGAGATCATCTTCACATGCTTCCCTCCCACCCTCTGTGAGATGCCGCCCCTCCACAACAAGCCCCCACACCCCAAGAACTCTTCCCCAGTACCTCTGGGATCCAGCTGGCGGGTACGGCGCTGGCGTCATGTCAATCTCTTGACTGTCTTAGGGCTCTGTCCCTCCCGCCAGATGCCGAGATTGTCATGTAACACGTGGAAATGATATTCTGGTTTGCTGTCAATGGGAAATAGGTGTTTATGAGCCCTAATCCTTTACGGATAGTTACATTATTTGGAAAGAAATGGTACACAACCTGGGTGGTTTAATTTCCATCCCCTTCTAACAAAGCCCACCCTGAATCCTTCAGTACTGATGCCTTGTTCTTGAAGCTTGCGGAAATTGCGCAGCTTCCGGCCTCGTTCCTTGATTTCTCCATAATGGCGAGAGCAGTACGGAGGAGTTGTGAGGCGCAGTAATTGGAGCCTACGATGCGGTAGAAACGCCTAACCTATAGCCTTTAAAGTGAGTGACGTGCGAGACCATCCTTGGGGGGAGGTTAAAATCGCTGTGTAGCGGGTCATTCAACAAGCCGGACGGTAGTTCAGAGTGCGTAAACAAGAAAATTAAAGTCCATTTCCTATCTTGGATAGAGCCGAGAACGGGGGGGATCTGAATACATTGAAATTACACAGTTGATCCGGAAAAACCTCTCCCACTTCACGATACCCAGCACATCCTGGTCTTTGCCTCGGTCGTCCATCTGGTAAGGCCCACCTCGCTCGCGGCCAGTCCTCGTGTTGAAATTGGTCATGCCACGTCTTGGTGTGTTGCCCTAGCTTTAATTGGCAGCATTGATAAGTACACAGGGGCGACTTACACTGTTCATTTTCATTTTCAAAACACTCAAGCGCACAGTTGATATCATGGAAGACCATCTTTGCGCCTCGTATCCCACCAAACCAATTCCACCTCTGCCTTCACTTGGTCGTACGGAAAATGTCATGTGATGGTTGCTGTTTTCGAGAGCTGAATGGCACGTGAATCGTGGTGTTGCGTTCGTGACACATCTGTTTTCATTTTCTGCCGTGGAGGTGGGTAGTAGATCATCCATCTTGGGGGAAGATATGTCCCTCGGTAGACAAAACAGTACTTTACCTCAACTTGTTGAAGCCGAATATAATTCGAAAATCTTCCAGTATTTTTGTGAGGATTGTGCCTTTTGTGCCACATGGGCGGTACATGACTACCCACTATATGCTAGTAGACATAGATGAAATCCTCGTTCTTGAGATCCGTCATGTCTTGCAAACCGTTATCCTCTTCCATCGCCCGCCTTTGCTGGCTTACACCCACGTCTTCCTCCATCTCTACCGCCTTACCTCCCTGCATCTGATCCTTGCGTGCCATTGATTCATCAATAAGAGTGGCCGACTTGCCAAGCTCCTCTCTTCTCTTAGCGTGCTGCCTGTTCAGATACATGAGGTAGAAGGGAACCAGCCTAGATGATCTCGTCAGCTCCAAAGATCCGCGCCAACTCGTAACCAGCTTATTCAGCTATTCAGGAGTGAGACTTACGCAGACAACACGCCCACAAGCGTGAACATGATCAAATTAGCAATCAAGCCTGGCCGATAGAGGGGCGCATCATCCGTTGAGTAGAGCAAAGGACCGATGACGTTGCCCGTACACATCCCGATAAAGACCACTGCTGAAGTACATTTCTTCTTGGTATCACCTCCAGTGTTCTGGGCCTGCCACGCGTAGAATAAAGGAGTGATGGCAGCAAGACACGAAACCTTGAATGCGACATTAGCGAATTGATAGTAGCACATAGATGTGGTGAAATTAGAAAATATACTTACAAGATAGTAGCCAAATAGGAGGACACCTTTGTGCTGCCTTGGCACGGTGAGCATGAGGATGGTGCCAATCGCAGGAAGCACACTCATGCCTGCAATAACGAGGCCTTTGCGCTGAAACCTGGTTGCCAGCCACCCAGAGCCGAGGATGGCGATGATCTGAATGACTCCAAAGGGTATGTTGAATAGGATCGTTTGGAATGAATCGTATCCAAACGACTTGACGATGAGATTCCCAAATGTACTGATGCCACCACTGGCAATACTGGAATATAGTTCAGTATTGTCCCCTTTACTTCAGTTGTAGCTTGAAAATAATACTCACGAGATGGCCACGATACACACGAACCAGCACCAGGTCTTTAGGTCGGTTGCCGTCTCCCACACGTGGTCCCAACGCCACTCCCTCGATGCTACACCCATCTGGTTCGCTCGCAACCGCTCTACGGCGATATACTTCTCCCTCTCAGTCAAGTACTTGGCCTCCATCGGCGAATCAGGCATCCAATACAGCACGAAGAGTCCGTAAACGACAGTCAGCAGCCCGCAGAAGAGGAAGATGATCTGATACTTGTGCAACACATCGCTATTGATGTGACCCAGCCCGTACGTCGCTAGACTGCCCACGATGAATGTGACGCCGTTCATTGCGTTCCAGGAGACGGTGCGCAGCGTCTGCTCCCCGCGCCGCCACCACATCTGAGTGACTGCGACACAGGACGGCGCAATCATCGCCTCGAAGGAACCGAGGCAGAACCGCAGACCAAGGAGGGATTTGAAGTCTGTGCAGGCAGTCATGATGGCCAGCGAGGCACCCCAGAGAAGGACTGCACCCGCAATGACCTTGCCGTTTGGGAGTTTCACCAGGATGTAGGCGGCGGCAGGTTGCATGACGAGCTGGGCGAGGTAAAGGATGGATCCAAGCCATGAGTATTGTTTCCCGTGGAGGTTTGCGTCCTTGTCGATTCCGAAGATGGATACATAGCTTCAGGAGGACAGAGGTCAGTACTAACCTGGGACTCTGGATATGATGAAGCGGAAATCACCCACCTCAAGGAACTTTTATCGAGCTGCTGGAAGAAGTAGGCCCCGAGAAGCACAACAAGGACGCGCCCGTCGATGCGTCTGACGACAGCCTTCTCCTCCTCGTATGTAAACGGGCGGTTCTCAGAACTGTGCTCGGCCAGAAACTGAGCGGCCTTTTCCATACGAACAACTCGAGGCTGCTGGGCTGCTACCGGAGCTATGTCATCGGTGGTAGTATTGGCAGCCTGTTTGCCATCATTGGCGGGGTTTGATGCCATGATTTTGCCTCTTGATCACTGGCGAGTAGCTATAATTTTCTTTTCTGGATAGAAGAACTGAATAGGCGATCTGAATATGCGATCTTGCCCCCACGACGTTGCCGTCTAAGAAATATATTCATATTCGGATATTAACCTGACCTTGCCATGGGGTGACTTCCGGCTAGTGAACCGGCAATCATTTGCCGCTGCCTCATGAGAATTGGGATCATCTAAGAAACATGCTGGGTAGTTACGGTGACATGCTGCTGCATCCTCGTCAGATGGCCTGTTGCTAGAACGGCTGAATGGAGGATAAAGGCTGGGCGAGATGCAATTGGAGGAATAATCTGCTGGCGAGGGCCACTTGGGTTACTGCAGATCACCTGCAATTCATGCCACTCTTCTCCGAGCAAATGCCCATGTTTTTGAATTACCCCGAGCTGCCATGCCCCAAGTTCCCCGCACCAAAACAACTGGCTGGGGAGAGGGCATCTCCATATTTAGTCTGGCTGGAGAGAAGTGACCACTCTCTGGATGATGCGAATCAGAGACGCCGATCCACTCGTGGTGATTCTTATTCGCTAGTAAATCGGCTGTCAAATCAATGATGGCCCGAAGCTATTATATATGATGAAGCGCGTTAGATGGCATCATGAGATGATTCAGGGTGAAGCCTTCAACAAGCCATTCAACAGTCCAGCATTTTGGATCACCCAAGCTACAAGTTCATCAGAATGACTGAATTGGCCGGAGGCAAACGATATGCCCTGATCGGGACCGGCAGCAGAGCCATCTTCTTCTACACTGCCCTCGCAACAACCTACAGCAAGACAAGCTCCCTCGTCGCCTTCTGCGACACCAACCAGACCCGTCTCAACTATGCCAACTCCAAGCTGGAGAGCCTGGGGCACAAGCCCGTCCCAGTCTACCTCGCCGCCGACTTCGACAAGATGATCGCCGAGACCAAGCCGGACGAGGTCATCGTCACCACCATCGACCGCACCCACAACACCTACATCGTGCGCGCCCTCGACCTCGGCTGCAACGTCCTCAGCGAGAAGCCCATGACGATAGACGCCTCCCGCTGCGCCGAGATCTTCTCCGCCGTCGAGCGCACCGGCCGCCGGGTCCGCGTCGCCTTCAACTACCGCTACGCGCCGCACAACACCAAGATCTCCGAGGTCCTCCGCTCGGGGGCCATCGGCACCGTCACCAGCGTGCACTTTGAGTGGATGCTCAACACGTCCCACGGGGCCGACTACTTCCGCCGCTGGCACCGCGACAAGCGCAACAGCGGCGGGCTGCTCGTGCACAAGTCGACGCACCACTTCGACCTGGTCAACTACTGGCTGCAGAGCCGCCCCGAGACCGTCTACGCGCAGGGCGACCTCAAGTTCTACGGTAAGGAGAACGCCGAGCGGCGGGGCGTCACGGACTTCTACAGCAGGGCGCACGGCAGCGAGGCGGCGAGGGCGGACCCCTTCGCCCTGCACATGGAGGGCAACGAGCAGCTCAAGGCGCTGTACCTGGACGCGGAGCATGAGGACGGCTACCACAGGGACCAGAGCGTGTTCGGCGACGGCATCAACATCGAGGACACGATGAGCGTGCTGGTCCGGTACCGCAGCGGCGCGACGCTGACGTACTCGCTCACCGCGTACGCCCCCTGGGAGGGCTTCCGGGTCAGCATCAACGGGACCCAGGGCCGGCTGGAGGCCGAGATCGTGGAGAATAGCTACGTGAGCGCGAGCGGCGCCCAGGGCGAGGAGGGCAAGCTGGAGAGCAGGACGGTGACGCTGCGGAGGCTGTTTGAGAAGCCCGTCGAGCTGGAGATTGTGGACGGGGCGGGAGCGCACGGCGGCGGGGACGAGGTGCTCCTCGGGGACCTGTTTGGGCCGCAGGCAGAGGAGGGCGCCCGGGATGATCGAGCTGCGAGTCACATTGATGGTGCGGCGTCTATTCTGACGGGGATTGCGGCCAATCGGTCCATTGCGACTGGGCAGGTGGTCAAGGTTGATGATGTGTTCCGGCTCCCATAAGACAGCTAGCACAGGAAGATGGAAATAGAAACAAGAAACATGCAATGAAACCAATATTGGTCCAATCGTTGATATGAGACAAAGCCGGGTGTAAGCGAGACCGTCGTGCTCCCGCCTCTGGTCTAGCTCCGGGAGAGGGAAGAGGAGTATGATTATGCTATTAGGGACTTGAGTCCATCTGGGACTCTGGGTACAGTTCCCAGAGCGTCCGGCGTGAGAAATATGGATGTGTCATAGGACTTTTGCGAGGCAGTGATCCCGTCCAACAGAGTCATTCTGACGTCGGTGGAGCTTTGAGTTCAGGTTTCACATGGCTCCCCGACGCGGATTACGGTCAATTCTCTGACCGTCTCGTATTGAAATGCCAGTATTCGCCCAGAAATTCTTGCCTGGGGGCGGGGATCGTTGGATCGAGCGGCAGGCAGATGCATGGACGTTCCCCCGCACAGATCTCGACCAAACAGAGCGTCTTAACATGTAATGTATGACGTCCACCATCGCCATCAGGAGCTGAGCTCCGGCCTAAGCATGGAAGCTTGTCGGAACACATTCCATTCAAAAGGACCAGTGCCCGGGGAAATATGAGAGTAGGATCTCTGCTATTGCATGTTTCATCTCGTTGATCTCTACTCCTCCCACACAGCCAATCTGACCCGAGCAGGATCTTACTGAATTGACCGACATTCTCCAAGATGTTGTTCGACGACTTGATGAGCGAGGGCGGCCACAAACATCCGGTCGACCCGATCCCAACTGTAATCCGTGAGTTGAAGACTTAAATCAATCATCCAACTCAGCAAAGCAGCTAACATCACCGGGCAGCCGACCCAGTCACCTATGAGCGAGCGGGCGGCGATGGCTTCCGAACCCTCTGGGTCATCTTCGTCATCTTCATCGCCTCCGCGGCCCTCTTCTCCCTCCAGGCATGGCGAATCCCCGTCTCCCGCCGCGTCTACCACGTCCTCACCACCGTCATCGCCATCGTGGGCGCACTCTCCTACTTCGCCATGGCCTCCGGGTCCGCCTCGGCCCTCAACTGCCACACCGTCACAGAGCACCACCACAAGGTCCCCAACACCCATCACGACGTCTGTCGCCAGGTCTTCTGGTCCCGCTACGTCGACTGGGCCATCACCACCCCGCTCCTCCTCATTGAGCTCGGTCTCTTGGCTGGTCTTGACGGCGCACACATCGCCATGGCCGTGTTTGCTGACCTCATCATGGTCTTTTCCGGGCTCTTCTCCGCGCTCGGCGAGAAGCACACCGCCCAGACCTGGGGATGGTTCACCATTGCCGTGATTGCCTACATCTTCGTGATCTGGCACATCGCCGTCGAGGGCGCCCTGGTCGCCAAGGCCCGTGGTGAGCGCCTGGCTAAATTGTTTGGCTCGCTGGCTGGCTTCATCTTGATTCTCTGGGCCGTTTATCCAATGTAAGTTGGAATGGATGTCACATCAATAATGAAATTCTTGGGCTAACATAGCATCTTAGTATCTGGGGTATTGCTCAGGGCGGACATCGCATGTCAGTTGATGCTGAGATTATTACGTATGCTGTCTTGGACATGTTGACTAAGGTTGTCTTCGGCTTCTGGATCCTTATTTCTAACCGCCAGATTCCCGAGACGATCGCTGAGGTTGGAGGATGGTGGTCTCACGGATTGAACACCAATCCCGAAGGCCGCATCCGAATTGGCAACAGCGGTGAAGCCTAAGGGCGTTGAAGAGCCCATCATTTCACGGTTAGAATGATAAGAAGAATGATGGGGACAAATCGAAGGACAGACACGATGGAGAGGGAGCCGGGGGAGAAAAGTGTTAAGGCCTCGATAGTGCCTGGATGGATGTAAAGGGATTTGGTAACGACAAGATCAGGATGATTGCGCTTATCTACCTTGCTTGGAATGCGAGCGGGATTATTTCCAATCTAAAATTTATAATCAATTTCTTTGCAAACACAAAAATACCAATATGTTGATGTCTACATCACAGATCCGTGAATGTTCAGCAAGTTTGATACTAGGGTATGTCTTGATAGGACTTGGCTTCATTGAATTCTTCAGCAAGAACTAAATCGATGCAAAATTCGCTTCCAACCAAATAAAAACCCATGAACTGTGCGCGACACCATCAACGCCATGTGATGCTCCGACATGGGGAAGACTCCGGAACTAGGGAAGCAATGGCCCTCTTGGGTGAAGGAGCCAAAAACTACAGGCCTAGAACAGAGAAAAAGATCCAAGAATCCGTGCAACCGACTCACGAGGTTGAATATCAGGGTAGAGAAACAAAGCATCCATGCCGCCGAGAACTTCCAAGAGCAAGGCGCCACCCATCACACAGTAAAAGTCGTGTCATTGCTACAGAGTCTGCAGGAACCCTGATTTGTAATTGGCAAGAGGCGAAACGGAAGGGAATCTGCTGGGATGCGTATGCAGCTGCTTGTTTGGTACCTGCAGTAGGTCTGTTTGATCTCAAGGGGCCTGTGCTACGGATGCATGAGCATTGAGAAGATACTGTTCTGAGGCACAAAAAGAGAAGGAAATTATGTGAGCATTATCAATCTCCAGCTTCCGAATTCGTCACCCATGTTGCGTACTGGGATGATCGTTCTTGGCAGGCTGGGGTAGCCTCTGTGAGTGAGGGGAAGAGGGGACATTGTCAAGCAAATGACATCCTGAATCAGACGAAAATTTGGAGAGGAATGATTCACCTACTGTTGCATTTCAGGTGTGCTGCTTTGATATGCTCATCAGTGATACTGGGAGAGCTTATGATGAGATAGGAAGCGACTCTTGCCAGCTTCTCTCGATGATGGCAACCCGGTCTAAGGGAAAACGCACGCAATACCCAAAGACAGGCTAACGAGAGGAGAGGAGCATCGCCACAGGCCAACCGAAACACAGCCCCTCCCGGAACCCATCGCTGACGAATAACGTTAATAAGAAGCTTGATCTACTGTCGAATTTGGAACTCGGCCTCCGGAGACTCGGAGCTCTCTCCATCAACGCCACGCCGTGACTTGCTGTCGGCCGCTTTGACACTTGCAAGTGCCCTGCCCTGTCAATGGTCTGCTCGAGGGGCAGGATGACGCACCCCTGGATGATGGAGGGCTCAAACAGTCTAGAACAAGGCAAGACTTGGAAGAAAGAACCTCTCATCTGCCTGTTCCCTCTGGGTCATAGGGTTCCATTCGCCTGCGCCCGAAGATGTCACAGTCCCTTCCCTGGGGTCTCTTGGCGGTTTGCGTATTCCCCTGTAATTAGACGGATGACGAACCCTTTTCTTGGCTGTGCGAAGCTCGGAGGGCCGGTCAGAAATGTTCTGTCGTCAAGTATAATAGCTCAAGGCCGGCCGTCATTCTCGGGGGTTTCTGGTTCACTCTCCACGGACGCAGTCACTCCTTCAGTCGTAGCATCGTATTCAAAAGTAGCATTTTGAATCGCACCTGTTCCATCGTCCACGTATCATCATGAAGGCCCAATTCCTCTCCAGCGCTGCCTTCCTGGCATCCGGCGCCATGGCTGCCCGGCCCTTCCTCAACGAGCCCGACACTGCCATTGAGCTCTCCCTTCCTGACCTCAAGGTCGGCGATTTGGCTCCTCTGGAGAAGATGGTCGGTCTTCCCGACTTTGAGTTTGCTGCCCGCAACTACCTCTCGGATGCGAACTACACGTACTACCGAAACGGTGCCGCAGGAGAGTGGTCGTACCGCCAGAACCTCGAGCTTTTCCAGCAGTACAGACTCCGACCACGGACAATGATCGATGTCACCAAGATTGAGGACTCTCTTCCGTACGTGAATATTGAGTCAGTATGATATGCAGTCGCAATTGCTAACCTAGATTCTGTTAGCACAACCATCTTGGGACACAACTTCTCTGCTCCCTTCTACATTACTCCCTGCGCCCGCGCCGGATATGCCCACCCCGACGCCGAGCTCAACCTGGTCAAGGCCGCCGGCGAGCAGGGCCTTCTCTACATTGTAGGCCATGACTTTCAAACGCCTCTGATCTTATAGTCGCTAATAGCATTGACCACAGCCCTCCCACTACGCCAGCAAGACCATCGAAGAGATCGCCGAGGTCAAGAAGGAAGGCCAGGTCCTCTTCCAGCAGGTCTACCTCAACTCCAACCACACCCGCACTCAGGTTGAGTTTGACCGTGCCAAGGCTGCCGGCTACAAGGCGATTGTCTTCACCGTGGACTCTCCCGCTCCCGGAAACCGCCAGCGTGCTCTCCGCTTTGGCGTTGGATCTTCGTAAGTGTACATGTTGCGACCGGCAATGCGAGTGCGTGTGAGCTAACATAATCGCTATCCAGCAACACCGAGTACACCTACATTACTGTATGTATAACCATTCGGACAACACTTGGATCTGAGCCCGGAGCTAACCAGAATGCAGTGGGACTACTACAAGAACCTGACGACCCTCACCGACCTCCCCATCCTCCTCAAGGGCATCCAGACCGTCGACGACGCCAGGCTCGCCCTCGAGAACGGCGTCCCCGGCATCATCCTCTCCAACCACGGCGGCCGCCAGCTCGACACCTCCCGCTCCAGCCTCGAGGTCGCCCTCGAGATCCACAACGAGGAGCCCGACCTGTTCAAGAAGCTCGAGATCTTCGCCGACGGCGGCGTGCGCTACGGCAACGACGCCCTGAAGCTCCTCGCCCTCGGCGTCAAGGCCGTCGGCGTCGGCCGCCCGTTCATGTTCGCCAACATCTACGGCCAGGAGGGCGTCGAGAAGGCCATTGAGCTGCTGAAGAATGAGATTGCCGTCGACTCGGCGAACCTTGGTGTTGCTGACCTGAAGAAGATCGACCACCGCTATGTAAGTTTTGATGCCGCGATGTCCGGGGTTTCCGCGCAAGGAGCTGGTGCTAACGGGTGTTTATCTGCAGGTCATCTACAATTCTCTGGGATATAGTGGTTAAGTAAAGAATTACGGAAAAAGTAGACATTCCGGATTGCTTTAGGCATTGTAGATATTTTGTTCGCCGACTAGTACGAAAATAAATGACTATTATGATTTGTTCAACCATCCGAACCCCTCAGTGATTGAAATCCTGGAGTATCGTAGAGTTGAGATGCCTGGCAATCGGGCCGTGTAAATCGGACGATCGTCTAAAGGCTTGACGGGCTGGATAAGGTGAGTAATCCTGGTGCTGCCAATGTGTATCGAGCAGCTGGTGAAACACGCAATGCCAGGGGCAAATCCAGGGGCCCTGCAAGTGATGTGTGGCGATGTCACCCAACGCCGATGATCTACGTTTTAACAACACTTTGGGATGCCTTCTTTCCAATCCCTCAGCAAACCTTGTGGACAATATACAAACATGGTATCATTCGATAGATAATGGAGCAGGAGAGTGACGGGCCAAGATAGCCATGGGGGGTGATATAATAGCTCCGACTATGAGAAGCGATGGAAGCACGAGAAGCTGTCAGAGCTAGCGTTGGATCAGATGAAACAGACGGCGCGCCCTACGGCAAGGCAAATCCACCCACCCCTTATGCCTTTTAAAATTGAAGGTCACTTACTGCCGTAGAGTCCGCTTTGCGTCCGCTGTGAATCCGCCGAGAGAGCCCCAAGAACTACCGCCTCGCGCGCGGCACTTACTGTGCCTTATGAGTGATGCATTACCAAATGTTTCCGAGCCAGCTAGTCAGTGGTTCTCCCCGGTTACGCGAGTCTAGCCTTGGTCTTGGACCTTCTAAATTAGGGGAAAGAGACCTGGACGCTGTGTGCTAAGGCACGGGAAACGCTCCATTGCATGAGAAGATCAAATAACTACCGACGAATCCGGTAGATGTTTTCGAAATTAGCACTCCATCTCTGGTAGTAGATGCTATTTATGTGCCACCATGTGGTTCCATTCGGTAGCACAGAGCGTGTCATCCGGCGCCATCCCGTCATGGAGCAGGGCTGGAACTACTCATGAGGATTCCTATAAGTTGTCGTTGACATCGCAAACTGACCATTCTTGAATCTCCATCGCTCTGTGTCTCTCCAGCCTTGGACATTTTACGAATCAACCCAGCTGAGATGTTGTCGAAATTCGCTGCCACGGCCCTCGCGGCCAGCACCTTTGCATCCGTGGCCCACGCCTGGCTCCCCGGCCACAAGATCCGCGGTGTCAACGCCGGCTCCCTGTTTGTCTTCGAGCCGTGGATCGACAGCTCCGAGTGGAGCAGGATTGGATGCTCGGGGCAGAAGTCGGAGTTTGACTGCGTCATGAACATTGGCCAGGAAGCCGCCGACAAGGGCTTCCAGAGCCACTGGGACGAGTGGCTCACCACCACTGACCTGGATGAGATGAAGAGCTATGGCCTCAACACTGTCCGAATCCCGTTGGGGTACTGGCTCAAGGAGGACCTCGTTGACAAGTCGGAGCATTTCCCCAAGGTGAGTGCTCTACGACTGGCAAGATGCCATGCTGAGTATGCTAATCCTTTGCTTTCTAGGGAGGTATTGATAAGTTGACCTCGTTTGTGGGTGCCGCAAGCGACCGAGGTTTCTACATCATTCTCGAGTGAGTCTCAAATCAGTCATATTTATGGTGATTCTCACTGACCATGACAGCTTCCATGGAGCACCCGGTGCCCAGGAGCCCAACCAGCCGTTCACCGGCCAGTACAACCCCAACGCCGACTTCTACAACGAGTACAACTACGGCCGCGCAGTAGAGTGGCTGAAGTGGATCACGGAGATCAAGCACACCAAGAACGAGTACCGCAACGTGGGCATGATCGAGGTTCTCAACGAGCCCACTAACTGGGACCACAAGGTCGACTCGCTTCGCAGCAGCTACTACGTCAAAGCCTACAATGTAAGTCATGCGTGGATTCTCACCTATCAAGGCCAAAGACAAAAGCACTGACCTTGCTGCTAGGCCATCCGCGATGTCGAGAAGTCCCTCGGTGTGACCCCCAACAACTACGTCCACATCCAGATGATGAGCAGCCTCTGGGGCTCGGGCAACCCGACCGAGTTCCTCTCCGACACGACCTTCACGGCCTTTGACGACCACCGCTACCTCAAGTGGGACACCTCCGTCGCCGTCAACAAGCAGTCGTACATCTCCACGTCCTGCGCGGACGACCGCAAGGCCGAGAGCCCTCTGTTCATCGGCGAGTGGAGCCTGAGCGTCCCCGACAACGTCGAGAACACGGATGAGTGGAAGCCGGCCAACGACCCCGACTTCTACCGCAAGTGGTTCGCCGCCCAGATCCAGACGTACGAGCGCTCGACCGAGGGATGGATTTTCTGGACTTGGAAGGCTAATCTCAACGACCCCCGATGGTCCTACAAGGGTAAGTGAAATTCCCATGATGATGTTTGAAGGTTCCCAACTAATGATGAGCAGATGCTGTTGAGGCAGGAATTATTGGCAAGGACCTCGAGAGTGTTCTCAAGTCTCAAGTTTGCTAAGTTCGGTTCGGTTAAAAGTTAGACCACAGTTAAACACTATCGATGGTGGTGCCAGAAGGAACTCTGTATTATAAAATCATTATCCTCATTAGAGCTTGTTTCATCTCAACCCAGGCTGAAGCATATGCCTAGCAAAGCACTCGTGTCTCGAATCACCGTGAATACATCAAAACGGAACACTGATCATCCAAAGCCCAGATCCTCATATCCAAAGCCGACAAAACGCCTGCCATTCCCACAAGCGACAAATACCCAAAGCCTCCCCATCCACTGAATCGAATAACGCCGCGACTCTCAATTGTTTTGCTGGGTATCACATTTTCAACTCCCCTTTTCTCTTTCTGCTCGCTATGCCGTGATCTGGTCTAATAAGCCATCTCTACTTGTCGTTGCCGCTGGGGAGCTCAGCATAGAAGCCCCCCGTCACGTTATGCGCGTTCGCCATCTCGGGATTGGGGTGCGCCTGCGTCCAGCGAGGGTCCTGCGGCGTCTGCGCGTAGCCCGGGTGAAGGCGGGAGTCGTGGGGCGCGAAGCTGTACGACGCGGGCATCTCGTAGGCCTGGAACTGCTGCGGCACCTGCTCCTTGCCGGGGATCTGGTACGGCTGGGGCGTAGCCGAGGGCGAGTGCTGGTGGATGGAGGGAGTGTGATATGGCTGCGCGTGGTTCGGCATCGGCGAGCCGGCGGAGTGGTGGCTCTGGGGTCGGATGCTGCCCTGTCGGCTGTAGGAGGACATTAACGTCGGGGAGTGGCCGAAACCTCCTGGGCCCGGCGAGGGCGAGCTCGTGGGGAGCGAAGGGCTGGTCGGTGGGAACGTGTGGTGTTGCTGCTGCTGCTGCTGCTGGGAGAACGTCTGTGATCGGTCGTTGGGGTTGATGGTGGTGATGCGGCCGTCAGGGGTCATCATGGCCCGCAGGACTCCGGCGTCGAGGAGCTCGGCCTTGCGGATGATGCGGCCGACCATCTCCTTGCTGGCGGCCTTGAGCTCCTTCTTGACGAAGCTGACCATGGTGATGTTGCAGCGGATCTCGATGTCCTCGCGCAGGTAGAGCCCGTCGGTGGGGGCGCCGAGGGCGATGAGGCCCATCTCCTTGACCTCGGGGGGCTCGAGACCGGGCTGGTTGCCGCCGATGCGGTACTTGTTGCGCAGGTCGATGTTCATGGGCGCGTAGATGTGCGTCTGAAGCCCCCAGGGCATGTCGTGGAAGCAGCCATTGAAGGTGATCTTGCTGGAGCCCAGCTTGCCGGCGCCAGGCAGGACCTGGACGCGCTCGGTGATCTCATACCATGTGCTGTAGTATTCGTCTGCGGCGGCCGTCCGAGGGGCCGAGATGGGCTTGTGGTCGAGGACGAGGGGGTTGAGGGTGATGACTTCGGGGTGCGAGTGGAGGATGTCGAGAGCGAGCTGGCGAGGGATGAAGCTTGGGATCGGGGTGATGACAGTGTAGGCCTCCTTCTTGCGGAGCATTTTGCGGGATGTAATTTATTAGGAGCCCCCTGGCTGATTTGGTGGTGGATTTGCTGGAATGTGCAGATGCAGTTGGGTGTATTATTAGAACCAGGTCCCTGGACAAGCACGCAGCAGAGTTGGGGAAAGATAGGGCAGATCGCAGCACTCCAAAGGACTTTCTGTCTGTGAGAAAGAGAGAGGACGGTATGGAATGGGATGAGTAACTCCTGAGGTAAATAATCCGGCCATCATCTGCTACCTTGTGCTGCTACACCACCCAACCCACTTGACTAGATTTGACGCCAGCCACACATCCAGCACTCTCTAGCGCTTGTCCGTTGTCAGACAGTGGCTGGTCTAGTCTGCTCCGTGATCTACTAGGGGCACTGCGTAAGCTGATAGCCGTCAAAGTGGCAGTGCGTAACAGTCGTTCCAGTGCCGGCCGGCAAGGTGGCACTGGTTTGTCCAACGCTCGTATTGGCCAATTATGTAGACCGTCGGCCTGCGAGGACCCCTCTCGCTGCATGACCTGCGGCAATGCCATGAGCTTGGCGTTTGATAGGCGAGTTGGCTGCCCAATATGTGCTGTCCCACGTTACCACCCAGCGGGATACGATGGCTGTGGGTGTTGAAAGCCCTGCGGAAGATTGTGTCGATTTGAAGGTCTACCTATCTTCTCGTTCCATTAATTGAATAATTTACGGCGTTGTCCAGCCAGGCGAGTCACTGATATGGGGCGCTGGACGCTGGACGTTGGATGCTGAGTGGGTTGGTTGCCAAAGGCCGCATGAAGATGAGACACTCCCTGTCCCACGGCACCTTGTTGTCTCATCACTCGGTAAGCAGATCGCGAGGGGCTGAAAATTCGGTTTTCATGGAGCACTCGACCCTGGAAGAGTTGGACCCTTCAGTAAAGCAAGTTTTGGAGTCGAGGCCCAGGCCTGATGAGCTGGCATAGTGAGAGCAAGCCGTCCTCGTTCGAACATTCAATTGGATGTCTGGCTTCTCTCTCGGCCGTAATCCTCTGCCCACCTATTCTAAATAAATCGAGTGTAGGCTGGCGCCGTAGATGTGCAATTTATGCAAGAGGCCGCCACAAACCGCCGCCAACATCGTTTCAAAGCCTGTTGGGTATCATTATGTTGGGCATTGGCCTACTACCCTATGCCTTACTGCCTTACAGCCCTACTGCACGAATTGATCATTTCCTTGTGGCGGATGCAAGAAATGATGACGAGTCAATTGACTGGCGTGCGACGTGGTGGATGAATGTCCGCCCGGTAATTCCCCTCTTCCGTTTAGTCCCCTCTATCAGTCATAGCCTTTGCCAAAGATTCTGATTTGTGATTTACTGACGGCTGAGCAGATGGCTATATTTCAGTGTACTGTATGTGTATGCCCAACTATGTGATAAAACTTACAGCCTCCGACGAAGGAAAATAACGGCATTGAAGAAGCACATTCCTCGGCTTGATTCATGATACAATCAACTACGGTACTGACGTCAGCTGATGATGGCTGAGCAGCTACTCCAAATGGTCGCAAACCTACATGTGGTAGCTTGTACACACAACTACGTACTCACATACGCACCACACACACTCGAGACACTGTCCCGAGCTCGCGCGACAACTAGTGGATATTGGGTGATTGCCTGTCGTGCTTGACCTGGTGAATCATGAGCCCATTTACCAGGCTCTTCCATGCATTTGGCCTGGTTTCCGCACCCGTGCTATGGCCTTTGTCCTCGCGTTCCTCGTAAAGCTCGCGATCCACTGATCCGATCCCGCGCGTCCCGAGAATCCATGCCGTGATTATCCCCTGTAACGACGGTTCAGCGAGTGATCCGGGCCTGTAGAATAAAAACGCGGGGTGTTGGGTCTGAGCTTCGTCACCTGTGATGCTTATATCTGCCTACTGCCTGGTGTAGCATCCATCCATCTCTATTTCATCACCCCTCCTGTTTCTTTCCTGGAGATTGGATACGTGAGACTGTTCGCTCCTCGCAGTAAATCTAACCGCAACATGAAGTCTGCTGCGCTCTGTCTCCTGGCAGCGTCCAGCTCCCTGGCCGCTGTGCTTCCGGGCCCGCCGGTTCAGGTACCCCTTGGCGGCGGCCTCAATCCTACCTCGCACTCTCACCATGGCAGCCATAGTGCTGAGGATGATGCCCAGCAGTCGTTCCTTGACTCGTGGCTCGAGACTCTCCAGCCGGTCAAGGATAGCATCACATCCGTAATTGACACCGCCACCGATGAGCTGGCCTCTGCCACGAGCACTCTCAACGGCTTCAAGGATGACATGTTCCGCAAGCTCCAGGATGCCTCCGACCAGGCCAACCGTGAGTTCCCAGACCTGACCATCTACCAGCTCATCCAGTTGAGCAACCATACCAAGAAGTTCGCCAAGGCTCTTGACAAATTCCCTGATGTGGTCAATATTCTTAACGGCACTGAGGCCAATCACACGCTCTTTGTGCCAATTGATGAAGCCTTTGAGCATCTCCCCGACCATGATCCTCCCAGCAAGGAGTTCATCGAGGCTGCCCTCAAGTATCACATTGGTGTGGGAAATTACGCCGTTCCTCGTCTCCTGAGTACCAACACTCTTCCTACTGCATATAATGAGAAGGGCCTTGGTGGCGAGCCACAGAGGCTTCGCACCCGTGTGTCTTTGGCTGGTGTTACCGTGAACTTTTACAGCAAGGTGGTTGCTGCTGATATTGTACGTACATCATTTGACTTGACGATTATACTAGGGATATCGCATAACCTATTCTGAACACCTACTAACACCAAAAACAGGCTGCAAAGAACGGTATCATTCATGCCGTGCGCCACATCCTCGTCCCTCCTCCACCTCTGGGTCCCATCCTGGCTCTCGACCCAAGCCGCTTCTCTACCCTGCTCCTGGCCTACCAAAAGACGGATTTCGTCAAGTATGTCCATGGCCTCAAGATCAACGGCAGCACCCTCTTCGCCCCCGACAACGAGGCATTCGCCGCCCTCGGACCCCGCGCCAATGCCTTCCTCTTCAACACCGAAACGGGACTCAAGTATCTCGACGCTCTGCTGAAGTACCAGATTGCCCCCAACGCCACCCTCTATACCGACGCCTTTTACGACAAGACCGGCAAGGAGGAGAAGATCGAGACCAGGGAGGAACATTACGACCTCGCCACACTCCTTCCCGGCGCCAACATCGGCGTCGACATCAAGACCATTTTGGGGTTCAAGATCTACCTCATTAATGGCTTCACCAAGGCCAAGATTGAAGACGTGGTCGGAAAGAACGGTGTTATCCAGGTGGTTAACAAGGTTCCTATCCCCCCTCGCAACAAGCAGGACACTGAAGATGCTGGAGGTGATATTGAGCTTGAGGATTTGATGGAGCGTCTTGCTGGTTATGTTGAGTAACCACTTATCAACGGCGGAAAAGAAGAATGTCTAGCTCCCTTTTGGTGACTGGTCCTTCATTTGCAAGCAAGGATAATGGGTTTTCTACCATGTTTACGTGACTTGTGTAATGAGAAGAGTAATGCTAGTACTGTATGGTACTGTTGCGATGATGTGAAGATGGACAAGTGATTTTTAGACTCTGGGTAGTTTTCAAATACTTGTTTTTCATTCTTCCGTCTACCTCACACCGCTGGCCTTATACGCCCCCACTCGTTGTCTTCCATCCTGATTGAGAAAACCGATTGATGCCCAAATGATAGATGCTCAAATGATAACGACATATTGTGTCTCGCCGTGAGAAATTTGCGAGTGGTAAAGCCTACCAGCGCCAACTCGCTCGTACCTAGACAAGTCCGCAGCGCCCACAGGTCGTATTATCAACGCATAATAAACCGCTTCTTTGACGAGACAAGTTGCCCTCTCCTCCCCAAGTAGGACGCATTTCCAAGCATGCCGATCTTTCTGGTCGGAACTACAGTCAAAAACAACCTCCGTTATAGACTCCCACGCTTCACCGACCAAGTTGTTTGCCACCCCAAACAGGTGTTCATCCCATAATTCCAAAGACTGGTCGGTGTCGAAAGGATTTGTCAAGTTTTCCAACCATGTAACCTTCTTGAACGGAATGTCTATGTATGTGATCTTCCCCGTGTACGACATCCAAGACCATGAAGGAACTTGTTTGCTACCCATGGGGTCAATTCGAGTTAGCCCTTCCGTGACGCTCGCCGTCCAAAGCATCGTTCGGGCAAAAAACACTTCGTAGATACCGTACCGTGCCTGAGATTTGAACACCCGAGCTATTCGTTTCTCCATACCCAGCATAGCTTTGGGGCGATCAGTTAGGTATCCCAAGGTAAGGCCACTATAGAGCTCCTGTATATACTGAAGGAGCCTGATCCACTCATCCTTGTACTTGTAGTGCCGGAATGATGACTCTGGGAAATGTGCGTCTCCGAGAAATCGAGACTGGGGACTGTTTCCTAAGATAGGTATCATGAAGGTGCTGATCTGTTCTCTTGAGGGGACACTTACTTTTCAAGTTGAGCCAATGTCTCACAATAAATACCTTGCCCACATTCCCAGTATATTTGCGTAGACGTTATATGAATTGTCCGACGTGCTAACGCTCGCTCTTGAAGCACCCATCCTCGTGTATTGAGAAGGCCATGCTCCACATCCTTCTCGAAATTATCGATATACTTTGATAAGTACATCCTGCTCCTGGAAGTGTTTACAGCAACAGAAGGGCGCGGTTCTCTGTCGCCCAAGAACCCTTCAAGGGAAGACTTGGCGGATGTAGCTGCAAAAACACAGTAGGCGGAGCTGAAAACTCCTTCCATTCGAGCAGCCTCCCTTGCCCAATCTTCTTCATCTCCTTGGATGATGCAAAGAGAATCAATCCAAAGAAACGGAACACCAATTACTCTAGTTAGTTTTACTGCATCTTGGAAGGTTTTTGGGAGCGATTCAAATCGGATTTCCCTCTTGAAATCATCAATGTTGCTAACCGTTGTGCGGACCATCTTCTGGTTAGAAACATCTCCCCAGCGGTGGCTCAAAGCCACATAGTTATCGTTGGACAGCTCAATTGAGTCTACTAGGCGAATGGTAGAAGTGCAGTCGTCACCCACAAATATCAACCTAGTGGGCATGTGTCTACCTGCGGCGGTGCCGTTTGCCGTGTCTAAGGAGCAGTCATGCGTTTTATTGCACAAGTCGATCCATGCATTTAGAAGCTTCTTCTGCTGGGGGCTACCCATTTCTGTGAGCAGTGGAAGCCCGGGTGGAGGAGCTGATAAGTTCTTACTCGCAAAGTCTAGGCAAATCATTAGCGGCTCTAGAAATGTACGAGACGTCTGGCTATTGCCAAAGCTTACCTGGCTCGGAGTACAATGAAACCACCGGCAAATCTTGCCCAAGCAGCCGAACCACATGAGACTGCTTGTCGCGGGCCAAAATCACTGGCTCTCCGCTCTTCAGGTTGGCGTCTGCAATTGACTGAACGATAAAGTGACATAGCGCACAGTCAGGCGAACTGTGTTCCAACTCCCGCATATTACGAAATAGGTTCCATTCCGACTGGTCAAAGTTGATGTTTCTACATTGTCGGCAAAAGGCTGCAGATTGTATTTTCGGTCGAAGTGATGGCCAATCCAGCTGTGACAAGAGAGACGTTGTACAATCTATGTCTCGTACAAAGCGCCACTTGTTCACAAGTTCACTTGTGCGCTATTATTATCAGTAACTTCACTGTTGACTGCCGGTTAAAGTTCAACCTACTGGCTTTTGGATGTTAGATTTGCGCCGAAGAAGGGGAATTCTAGGTATGCCATGACTTACGTTCTGTGTATCAAAATATGTCAGAAGCTTGTTCGATTTTTGTGAGTTTTGTGACCTACATACTAATTTGTGTCAGTATATCTGCATGTTAATTTGTTGGTTCGAAATTTTAGGTATTACAGTTGTTCCCCTAGAGGAGGTGTTCTCTCCTGTTGGTTGGGTCGTTGAATTTGTTGGTTGGTTATTTTTAGCTTGATGTTTCGTGAGGAGTGACAACCAAAGGAGGTCTTTGCCGCTTTCCATATATCGCTCCTTGATCGTGTTTATTTCTTTCAGAACAAGTTCGGCGTTTTTCTTGTCCCAATTTCCAATTTTCTCACCATGGTAAGCATCGATACCCAAAAGCTTTGTCCTAATTAGTTCGATCAACTCATGTGCGAACTTACTCAATGGTGGAACTCTGTTTTGCATTTCATCCATCGTGTCTTGAACAGCAGCATTGAGTTTTGGCGTTTGATTGCCCTCGTAATCCCAAAATCTGGGTGTCTTGCCATTATGTAGATGGGGCTGTGAGTCCTCTAAACGTTTGCGAAAGTTGCGAAGACCGTCGTGGCCATCGTAAATCCAGATTGTAAATTCCAGAAAAACACAGCCGAGCGACCAGTAGTCAAACAGTCGCGATCGCTTGCTCTTTTTCACTTCCGGCGGTTGATACATAATTGTGCATTGTGTAGTAGACGTATAATATTTTCGGTCCGCAGTATACTCTTCGTGGAATTTGGAAAGTCCAACATCTGCAATAACGAGTCTCCCTGACGCAGATCCGCGCCCGTTTTGCGGAAAATGGAGAATATTATGAGGTTTGATGTCTCCGTGGCGGATGTTCTGTTGATGAAGTTTGTTCAGACCCTCAAATATCCCATGCATCTGATCAAGGGACCATGCAACAAAGTCCATCCTATGCTGTAAATTGTCAAAACTCTTCCAGAAATCATTAAGATTACCACCGCGGGCCCATGGAAACAGGAAGCACCTGTCTTCGCCTGATTTGTAGGCAAAAATGGCACTGATGAGATGCTTATGATTTATGTTCGCCATTTTCTGAAGAGTTTCAGTTTCGTGTCGATAGAATTCCTCAATCTTAACATTAACATCACTAGAGCCACCCTGAACTTTTAATATCTTGAGCGCAGCTTCGATTTTCTCGGATGAATCCTCTGATGAGCTCGCTGACTGGGAAATGGTCTGATAGATCAGTACATAGACACACAATGATCAGCATGCTTAGCTTACTTGGCGATGTCCAAAATGATCGGGATGAAGATACACTCTCCATACTTCACTGAAATTGGATGTGGAAATTGGAACATTGCTCAACGAAGGAGGCAGGTATGCCATAGGGCGCTTATGATGAAAGACATGGATCTTCAATGAATCTTTCGAGCAGTCAGGGGATAGAAAAAGCCATTGCTTTTCGAGAAAATCGGCGAAAACTCTTCCACCTTTGAGTGGGAAATTCTTCGCGGGGTGTTCTATATTGAAACAAGTCTTATCAAGTTGCTGCCCCCCGGGGGTCGGGTTGTCTTCCTCTGCGTTCGTGCTGTCGGCGATGGGCAGGTCTTTGTCCGTGACTTTAGCATTCATGAAACCCGGTAGGTACTGGAGCCCATCAATCAATGCAAGGCAAAGGAATATTCTTCGAGCCTCGTTTCCTATCACAAAGTCTACCAGCTTCATGAGTTTTTTTCCCTTAAATTTCGAAGAGTGCAATGTAGAAAGCACCTTTTCTTTTGTTGCGAGCTCATAGATTGAGCTGGATGGCATAAACTTTTTGAAAACATGCTTTTGGTCACCAGAATTTTTCATATGGCTGTGGATCCAATCCCAGTTTTCTGTATCTGGCTGGGGTGTACTCTCCATCTGATGCAGAGTTTTGAGATGTTTGAGGCACGCAATCATCCAGTCCATCGGTTTGGCGTTATGGTGTTCGGCAGTGGGTCGTTTGATTTTGGTAAAGTTAACTATCAATCTCAAGCCCGGCTGGTCACGTCAATGTCAAGCATTGCCTACATATATACGCCAAAACACAGCACACAGTCAAAACTTAAGAGTCACATATTGCACCAGCATATAGGAAACACGTGTTCTCTATCCGTGACAGTGGCCTCTAACTCCACTTTTCAGCTGGAAAACCATGATTGGGTTGCAATAAGGCGACTCAAGGCCGTTGCTCCGCCACTATTGCGAACCAATATTATGGTCCCATCGTCAAGCTAAAGCTGCAGGAAATCACCTGAGGACTCCGAAATCAGCCTCATAGGCTCCTTTTAGGTGGGATCTGCCAGCTGATATACAGTTTAGGACCGAAGGAGAATGCCTCATGCATGAGATTCGTAAGCACAAGGGCTCGATCCATCGCTTCAGTTGACGAGAGCGGCCCCAAACTGTAACCAATTATCGATAATGAGGATGCCTTTCTGCCCAACTAAAAGTATCCTAGATCTTAGTTCCGTGTATGTATAATGTACCTAGCTGGGCCCCTTTCTGTCCATGACCACCATCACCTTCACCTGAAGTCCATTGTAGGTATCGACCCAATAAGAACCAACAACTTGGCGCCCATTCTACAGCCTAAATATTACACTATGACTCCTTAACAGTGCTATAATATCAGTTAGGTTGTAACTTCTCAGTGGTCTATCGTGTTTGGCTAGGTCCATTTGCCCACTTTTTCCTGGGAAAAGGGTACTTACTCGCTTGATGCCAACGATGTATTCGTCATTCCTCATCTCTAGGCTTTGAATCTCGATGTTGTGTTTGCCACAGAATATTTGAAGGTCTTTGACCAGCCTTTGTGGATTTTTGATGGATTTGCATGGGATCCGACACTCTTCACTGGCCATTGTCGTCCGTGGGATGTTCTGTGCAATAGATATGTACACTATGAATACCAATGAGGATGAGAACTGGATCAAGTAAAAGATGAAAGAACGAATGCCTGTTGGAAGTATGTAGAGATCTCTATGAAAGCTTCAACACAATAGGTTTGTGAGCACTTGGCTTTTTAACAATGAGGTTCAACCTCTACGCCTAGTAGTCGGTCAAATGTGTCATATTGATTGTGCCTTGGGAAGCCTTCTGGAAGTACGTAGGCTGTTTTGAATAAACCCATTTGTTTCTTTTGATAGGTGGTTGATGGCCCGCCGAGGATATCTTACTGCATATGCATCAAAACAATATATTGCCTTCTGCTGACAGCTGAAAACTCTCGGGATGTCCGTCGCCATTTTCTGCATGTTGGGTGACATTGAAGTAGGCGGTAAGTTCACCGCCTAGATTTCAACGAGCGCCTTGGTGTAAGCCGAAGGCTGACACTTCGGTGATTCTAGGCTTACGTCTATGCACCGTTACTTCCTTCTTGTGGTGATGTACTCAGATTACGATACGGTAATACAGATATTAAAGTTAGTTAAGGCTAAAGTTACTTATTGGACTACTGAGAAATTTTCCACCTGGTTGGCAAGGCTCCAGCCCGTTGAATGTTACATTACGTCTCTACAACAATGATAAGGCTGTCCCATTCTTTCAGCTTTGCTGCAACTGTATTGGATTAGCCGCCCAGTAGCTGTTTCGGGAATAGTTCATCCATATAGAGAACGTGAAGGTTGCTACCAAAATAACTCATTACAAACGAGGCTCGCACTGTGTTCCTAATCATCGTAAAGAATCCTTAATGGGAGGTGTTATTAAAGGTGTAGGGCTGCCCTCATCTCTTTCTCAACTGTTAGCATTCCTCGGTGACATACTTCACTTACCTAGGATCATGATATCACAACGAATCCCATTGCTTCACTTACTGTACATCTCCATTGTCACCAATTCTATCGTTACCAAGTGCCGGACCATCTTGGCCCAGTTGCCACCTTCCTTATTATGGCCCCTGTCACGGACCTCGGCTTCAGCCTGAGAGAAAACCTGATCAAATCTCGACAATTGCCGGTCAATGTCACTGGCCCTGAAAACACACAAAACAAACGGGACCAAGATGTCAGTTCTCTAATCCAACATTATCTCCACGTAAAATTTTCACTGACATTTTATACTATTAGAATGATGGCGATGATACGATATTTTCTCATTTGTGCCAAAGCAAGCCGAAACAATACGAGTTCCTTCCGATATCTTCACTGGAACTCCTATTCAACCTTGAGGGAACCAAAAAGATCATTGCCGAAGCTTTCCCAGGCGAGAACCATCAAGATTTGTGCCAGGAAATCTGTGGGAATGGCTATAGGCAGAGCAGGATTCGAATCATGGCGGTGCTCTGTCAAATGGAGCGACCTCAGCTTCTCAAATCCTTTCTCGAACATAAGGTGTTCGACGACTCGCTCCCATTAGACACGCAGTTGAACGGATTCGGATGGAAGTTGAAAGACCTGGTCAACTGGAGAGACAAACAATACAAGGCGATTGCTCCATTCTTTCATTTAAACACCAAAAACCCCGAGCATTACCGCCTAGATTCGAACGTACAAATTCCTTTTCTTTCACGTCGTGCCAGAGGCAACGGGGCTCATGGGGCAGTTTCTGAGGTCTGCTTGCACAAGGATCATTATTTTTGCGAAGAAAGCAAGGTGAGACCATGTTTGACCTCATTTTGCATCTTACTGCTTGTTTTTATTTATACACTCGCTAATACTTATCCTCGTAGGACTTCGATCTCACGGGACCTTATTTCTCGTTGAAGGAATTCAACCGTGGAATGACAACTGAGTATTTGAACGAGAGAAAAGGCCTAGAACGGTTTAGTGGATCAAACTCTGGTCATCCTCATCTCATCCGGCTCTTGATGTCGTATGAATATGATGGCCGGTACTTTATGATCTTCCCATTGGCGGAATACGACATGCTTGATTTTTGGAAAGTGGTTTCGAACAACCCTACATCCCCCAAGTTTCTAAACTGGGTACTGACTCAGTGCCATGGTCTCGCACAGGGACTCCAGAACATTCACAACTATGACGCTAAACTCAAGGACGGGTCAAACAAGCATAAGGGGCGGCACGGCGATATCAAGCCTCGGAACATACTCTGCTTTGACTCTCCAGGGAAAGATAGCACTGATGGTGATGTTACCCGGTATAGACTTGTCCTTGCCGACTTCACTTTCATGCGGTTTCATTCACCATTGTCTTGTGACCATAGCACAGAGTCCACTATGAGATATACTCGCACGTACCGACCCCCGGAAACCTGCTCCGATAAGGTCAGCCAAAAGCATGATGTCTGGACATTGGGGTGCGTCTATTTAGAATTCATCACATGGCATCTTCTTGGACATGAAGCCATTGATGAAAAGTTTTCCATAAAAAAAGATGGACCCAAGCTACAGGGTTTCCGGACTTTGCGGACTCTTGAAGATCCTGTCGATGACAGAATTGCCAAGGATACATTCTTTAAACTGGATACAAACGGTAAAGCACATCTTAAGGAGTCAGTACCGAAGGTATGTTCACTATGCTTGCATCTCATTGATATTTCTTCTTTGACACTCAGTGTCAGTGGTGTTCCTATTTACGTGGAAGAGAGAGCTGCTCAACCCAGCTGTTGGATTTCATCAACTTCATCCAGGAGCACATGCTAGTCGTGGAACTGGACAAGCGCAAAGACATTGACTTCATATGCGAGAAACTGGATACGATATTGAATGACAAAGATTTAGCACACATTCGTCCATTTACGGAAGGGGCGGGCGATTTGCCTCCCCTCTATACTCAAGAGGCAAGATACAGTGTCAAAATTCAATCGGAATTTCGTTTTCTAATGAGTGGCCTAGACTATAAACCGGCTCGAGGACTTGAAAAGCGATCCCAAAAGGTCCTACACCGCAGGTTTAGTTGAAGACCAACCAACCGAGAAAGTCCCAGCCAACGGCATACTGAAAGGAAACAGAATCTCTGAGAGTAGCAATGATATGCCTACCGAAAACGTCGACATAGCTATTGATAATAATCCCACCAACGATAAATCCATTGAACAACCGGCTGTTCCTACGAAACTTCTTATGAGCGACCAAGAAACATATTTGGAGTCATCAGCCAGTGGTCTTGATATCACCCAAGCTAAAGAGAATGAGAAACACTCTGCCGAGAATTCCAACATTGCCTTTGAAAACAATGCAACCGATGACAAGTCTATCGAACAGCCGTTTGTGTCTAAAGGGCTTCTTGTTCCCGGGAAACAACCCTCTATGAAGCCGTCTTCATCTGGCAGCCTTCGTAGTACTCTTCATAGTACTCAAGTTGAGGACAACGAAAAACTTTCTGCGGAACCAAACCGCCCATTGAATTCCAACAAACCTTCAACGAAACGTGCTTGCCAGAGCTCCTCTGATGAGACAAGACGAAATTGGATAGCCCGAAAATTATACACACCTAAGAAACACGTAAAGAAGTGGTGGTTCAAGTTCAAAGAGTTCAAAGTCTCAATAGAAAGAGGTCAATTTTAGGGAGGCCTCAGTTTTCAGCTGCCATTTACTATTACAAAAATTTCTGGGAGGATGCCGGTTTTTTGTTTCTTTCGTTTTTTTGTGTCGAGGTTGTTATGTTTTACAATGTTTCCTTATAGCCGTTTCGGCTATCCTAGCCAAGTGGAATGTAAGCAAGTTGAAAAAAAAAACAGTTTATACATAATAAAGAGTTGTTTTGAAAAGAGTCAAAGGGACATCTAGAGAGAGAGAGTGACGAAAGATGAATTGTTTGTAATAATATTGCGAAAACACCATGATAAAAGCCTATTCATCAATCTAAATGATTATCTAAAGGTAGCTACTATAAAATATTTGTTTGATCGAAAATCAGAGCACCGATCTATATAAGCTGCTTCTACTCGACATCCATCGATTTCATAATCTAGTCGAATTGCTAAGTGGACCTTCACACCGCTTGCCGATCTTGTCAAAACTCTACGAGAGGATCAAATCTCCACCAACCATCTTCCGATCTTCAAACAATCTCAGTTTCACGGCATCTTCCACTTCTCCCTCACGTCCGTGGAATGTGAGTGCCGCTGGCCGGCACTATGCGATGGCTACTCCTCAGCGACCTCCACTTCAAGCATCATGATCTGGACCGCGTGCGGAAGACGGCGCAATGGATCGTGACGGCCGCGGAGCGAAACAAGGTTGGACGGGTGGTGGTATGCGGTGACTTGCTGACAAGCCGTACGATGCACTCGACGCATGTCCTCTCTGCATGCTACCGCTTCATTGGACAGCTCAGTGAAGTTGTGCCACGGGTCCATATCGTGCTTGGCAACCATGACCTCGCGTACCGTCGCGACTACCAGACCACAGCTCTTGACGCTCTCAATATCAGCCGTTTGGCTCCCTTCGTGACGCTGCATAGCGACGTCGCTCGCCATGAATGGGACGGCCGGCGGGTCTTGCTGTTGCCGTTCCGCGAGGAGCAGGACGAGTTGACCAAGGCTGTAGCTACTCTGTGCCCTACTGAGGCGAGCAATACGGTTGCCTTTGCTCATCTCGCGATCAACAAGGCCATCACGCAGCGGCATGTGGTCAGTACAAGCGTCGACAAGCCTCGTGTAGCCAACTCTATTACGTATCGTGGCTTGACGGGCCCGGATCAATTTGCCTTGCTGGCTCGGACGTTCACCGGACATTTTCATAGTCACCAGACCATTACCCAAGAACGATATAAGAACCACGATGTCAATCTACAGGGAAGCATCACATACTTGGGCTCACCGCTACAGCTGAGCTGGTCTGATCTGAACGATGAGCAGAGGGGTATCATCTTGTTTGATCCGGAAACGCTCGAGCACGAAATACTCATTAACCCGCATGCCGTCGGCTACACAACAGCCGACCTGCGGCAAGTGCTCGAAGGCCAAGTCGATCAAGATGCCGTGGTGGACAAGCATGTCATGCTTCTAGGTGAACTTACCCGCCTCAAGTACGTCTCGGCCCGCGACAGGCTTCTTTCGATGGGTGTGCGGAGCGTGAGAAGCTGGACACCCATGAGCTTTTTCGGCGGCCCGTCATTCGGCGGTCTGGGCTCATCTGTGCCAGCAAGCGATGCATCTGTCCAGCCGCTGAATGAGCCCGCCAAGGCGGAGCCGGATCTGGACATTAGGAGCGACAGCGTTTCGGGTCCTGATCCTGTCACTGGACCTGAGATTGCAAAATTCGATCTCGGCGCGGAAGCTCGCGAGTTTGTAGAGGGGCTAGAGCTGGACAAATCTTTGCTTTCACGGCGAGATGAGCTGGTGCGGGTTGGTCAGCGATTGATCCAAGCCTCCCACGAGATGACAGATACAGAGAACGAGACCGAGGTTAACTTCCGGGATTTCCTTGATAAATCATCACAAAATGTCGGTACAAAGACTGCTATTGAGCTGGTAGGATCCTCGACCCACGTCTTCGTCGCGGAGCCACGCAAGCTCTCAATCACCAACTTCCTTGGCGTCAATGGCACCATCACCATTGACTTCCGACAGGATCTTAGGCGCGGACTGACATTCCTAGTCGGCGATAATGGCTCTGGTAAGAGCACGCTGGTCGAGGCCATGATCTGGTGCCAATTCGGGCGATGTATTCGTAGCGGACTGGCGGTCAACGATGTCGTCAACGATAGTGCCGGCCGAAACTGCTCTGTTATGCTCGAATTTGCCAACGGATACTCCATCACGCGCTATCGAAAGCATAAGACCCATGGTAACCGCGTCGTCGTCTCAGTACACGGCGAGCCGCAGCCGCAGCTGGAGCACCCAGACACGCGCACGACACAGGCTGCTCTCGATGAGTTGCTTGGTATCGACTACGAGACCTACGTCAGGACAGTTGTGCTAGGCCATGAAAGCACAGCGAGCTTTCTGACCTCGACGCCAACACAGCGGCGCGACTTGATTGAGGAATCGCTTGGACTATCAATGCTGGATAAGTGCGGGCAGTTGTCGAAGCTATTGCTCAAGAATCTGGATAAGGACGTAAATGAGGTAGAGAGTGAGTTGGAAGGCTTGCTCCGGACGATGGAATACAACAAACGACGGCTTAAAGATCTGGATAGGACACGGAAGCGGCTCAGAGAGGAGGCGAAGGAAGCGGAAGAGGCTGTTGCATCTTTGGAGGGGGTGATTCAAGAGTATGCAGCTACCGAAATATGTCTCGATGCACAAGGACCTTTTGGCAAAAACCAAACAGAATTTGAGCCCGAGCATTCCAAGTTCGACGCAGATGCCACAGATCACAAGCAAGATTACTTTGGCACAAACAAGGAGTCACAGGGCTTGCTGGATTCGACCGATTTCGCTGGGGTCAGCGCAGACTTGCGTGTTGAAATTTCGGCCTTGCAGGAACAAATATACATTGGGCAGGAGAATTTGCGGCGACTAGAAGCCTCTTATGCTCGGGTACAAGAAGAAGAAAAGCGTACTGAGCTGGCCTCACGCCCGACCTCACGTTTTGACTGGCTACAGCAGCAACTAAGTCAAAGACTTGGTGACGTGGCTGCGGCTCATCCCGTGGGCCTGCACAAGTTCTTAAGTGCCATGAAGACTTCCATCCTCAGCTTCGGGTTGTCAGTAGTGAGGGGCCTCTTATACATATTCAAGATTCCCAAGGACACCTCTCAGGGACCAAGCTCCAATGCCCATAGCCAAGTGGTAGCCATCAGTAGTCTTCGCGAAGACATTAAGAACAGCATATCACGGCTACAAATCATAGAGAACGAGGCGGACAGAGTGATTGCTCTAGAGAAGCTCGCCATTAGACATATCGCCAAACTGAAGAAACACTTTGCGCAGACCATCCAAGCCCAAGAGTCACACAGGGCCCTGCAGCAGCAAGCCGCACTCAAGCAGCGCGAGGTCGCTACGTACACAGACTTGGTCGAAACAGATCAATCGGCTCTACAATCGCTCCGCTCAGAACACAAGGCGCTGACAGCTAAACTTGAAGAGCTTGACGCAAACCGTGAGCTTTTCACGTTCTGGTCCTCCAACCTAGGGAAGCGCAGCCGTCGCACTTCTTCGCCTTCTTCGACGACCAACTTCCGCGAATATGTCCTTATGAAGCCGCTGGCGGAGCTCAACGAGCTCCTCGCGCGGATTCTCACGACGATGTACGATCACAACCAATCCGCACGCGGCATAGCAAAGGGGATGTTGCAGTCGCTTCTGGAGCCTGACCTTGACGACGCCGAAAACGATGACTCCTCCTCGAGTTCCGTCCTCCAGCCCACACTTGCTGTCCACCCCTCGCTGGCCTACGGCAAGCGCTCGGGCGGAGAGCGCAAGCGTGTCGACCTGGCGCTCTTTTTCTCACTTATGCAGCTGATGTGGGCCAGGAGTGCGCACCGCGCCCACTACATGCTCGTAGACGAGGTGTTTGACAGTCTGGACGAGGCGGGACAGGCGGCTGTGATCAGGTGGTGCGGGCTCATGTCGCAGACGGTGGCGGGCTGGATCGTCGTTATCACTCACAGCCAGTTCCTGATCGAGCGGAATGTAGAGGAAGATGCAGGTAAGATCTCGGTTATGCGGGCAAGGATGGGAGAGGATGGGATGGAGTTGGTTGTTGATGCACGGAGAATTGGTGTTCAGTAAGATGAGGTTTGCATCTCAGCTCATGATTGAATACTTGAACATTAATCACCCAGAATTAAATAGAAAACTCTTGACTCCATCAATTAAATTCTTAATTAATCACATACATTTACAGCCAGCAGTCCCTGTTGGCTTGTACAAAATCCTTCCATGTGCAGGGCGTCTCATCCAGCAGCGACAGACTCTCAGCCAGGTCGGCACCACCAAAGTATCCAGGCTCCTCGAGAAGGAGCATGTTCTCAAGCAGCTCCTGCGCAACCTTGGGGGTCATGAAGGACTTGAACGTGTCTGCGTTAATCTTCTGAAATGCGGTCTCGACGCCCATGACCTCAGAGAACTCCTTGAGGAGCTCGTTGGGTGTGTAGTAGCTGCCCGCAGCGTAAATGGTCTTGCCGGAGGTGGCGGGGAAGTGCTTGATGCCAGCCTTGACGAATTTGCCTATTTGAAGGAACTGTCAGTGAATCTTCTTGCTTTCCAGCTTGTGAGCTTTCAATTGGGTGAGGCCTACCGTAGTCGTTGAGAACATCCATAAGAGGGAACTGGGCCTTGTTGGGGTCGATAGGCAGACTCAAGACAAAGGTACCGTCTCCTCTGTTGCGGATGGCCGAGGTGAGGTTCACCATGAAGTATCCAGGCTGGACAAAGGTGGCAGGGATGCCAGAGGCGCGGATGTACTTCTCGATCTCAGCCTTGCCGTCAAAGTGAGTGACATGAGGTAGACGTCCGTTGGTGGCCTCAGACACGTTGATGAGAGACGAGAAGAGCAGGTGCTTGACACCGGCGGCCTTGGCGGCGTCCGTGACGTGTCTGCCCTGGGCAATCTCCTTCTCAGCGGACATGCCCTCCCAGAAGTTGGTGACGAAGAAGACGGTGTGAGCGCCCTCGACAGCAGGCCGGGCAGTCTCGGTGGAGTTCATATCGGCCTAGTCGTGAGTTGTAAGTCTTTGTGATCACTTTTTACAGGCGATCCATTGGTCGGTCAATTGCAGCGCGTCTTTCACTTACAACAACCATCTCAACGCCCTGGGCGGCGAGCTCCTGGGAAGCAGGCTTGCGTGTGTCACGAGTAACACCGCGGAAGCGGTAGTGCTTGCAGATTTCTGCATCCTGGAGAAGAGCGTTGATAACTGAGCCGCCCTGGTTTCCAGTGGCACCAAAGACAGCGATGACCTTCTTGTGGCTCATTTTTTCTGACTGCGGCGAGGTGGTAGAGGAGGGCAACGACTGGTGATGGCTTCTTCGAAAGGGGGGTCGGGTGAAGGGCTGATGAGTAGAATTCCCAAAGCTGGAAGTGATATTGAATAGAGTTGGAGAGGATCTAGATCTGCTAAAAGTAGTTATCGGGACGGCGAGCTCGAGTCCTTTAATGCAACAGGCTCGGTAAAGAGCTACGGTAGCCATTGAAGCGTTTGGTGCGGGTTGTCCCCTCACGTCAAGTCTCTTTTGGAAAGTGTGGTAATGCTAGATTGCTGGACTGTCTAATGCCCAAGTCTGGGGCTGTTAACTCTGCTTGATAATCCATCACTGCATTTCACGGTATTTGTTACTGGAAGATTGGCCAAATGGATCTCATCAATCAGCAATTACACTTTGGTGTTGTATCGCCAAATGCTGACAGAGAAAGCTCCAAGGTGACACTAGCGAAGCTATAACGGCGGCGATCATCATTGCCGAAAAGGCAGAGCAAACCTGCCCCGGTGCCGAGACGCTCAAGCTATTCATTAAGAGGCAGAGCTACTGGATAAAGGGGGGTGAGGCCAGACTGGATGCGGCATCGCTGGTCTCCATTCAAGGCTTTGTAAGGAACCACAAATACGAGCCATTGACCACTGGAGGCGGGGCCAGTCCCATTTCCTTGGAGAAATCTCTTTCAGCTGACAGGGGAGGGCAATTGAAGCGATTGATTGATCAGGGTGATGTCAGTTGGGGAGGATGGAGATTGACCAGCAGCCATGGGGAAATAAAGGCTCGATAAAATTGACCTTCTGCTATCCCATTACCTTTCTCAATCACAGACCTTGGTACAAAGATGTCCATACAGGTGCTCGCCGAGGGAGTTGGCTCTCTCGTAACTCCGATGTCGTCGTCATGGCTCAGTGTCGCTCGGCGCGAATCGCGAACGAATCAATGACTGTTTATTTCTTTCCATCCCAGTCATTTCGCTACTCGGGGCTCTCATGACGTCAAGCTGGACAAACAGAATCGGCTCTTCTGCCGCCCGTCGCCTTAAGAGCGGAAGCAGGGAGCCGAGGTGTTGATCCAGCTCCAACTCGGGCCTCGCCCGGCCGTTATTCCCAGTCATTTCGTCCGGTATCGCCAGTTGAACCCATCTTTTCACAGGGAGATGGTAGGGCCAATGACTGGGTCCCGGTTTTCGAGGCAACCTGTATAAAGCGCCGTCGCAGCCCTGTCAGTCTGATCGCGGCAGATCGCGTGCCGCTTCCCAACATGCAGCTTTCCGCTCCAGCGACGTTTCTAGAGCCATGTCCGATCCAGAAAAAGAAGACAGGGTCGGCAGATTCTCCCCACGCGATGACTCTGCAGAGTTGGCCAAGGAAAGGAGAAGCGAAGACAACGACCGCGACATCGAACGCCTGAATAGTGGCAGCTCCTCGTCAACCAGCCATAGCCTCACGGGCTCGGAATTCAGCGATGATCATGACGGCCACCGCCCGACAATGGGCGAGATCCACGCTACTATGTCCCAGAGAAGCCAGAGCCGCCATCGCAGTCCAGCTCGAAGCCGGACGCGAGCAGGAACAGTAGGCACCGAGCTCAGCCAGGTCGTGTCTCGCCGTGAGACGGTTGTGTCGAGGATTCGTTCCCGGCCCGTGCCCCAGTTCACACACCCTCTCGAGCACATCCCGACGACGGCTGAGCACTTGGTTGAGTTTGAGGGCTCTGACGACCCCTACCACCCCCTGAACTGGGCAACCAAAAAGAAGGTCCTCACGACGTTGCTGTACGGGCTCATCACCATGTCCGCAACCTGGTCTTCATCGGCGTACTCTGTCGGGACGCAGCAGGTCTCCCGTGAGTTCCACGTAGGCATCCAGGTGGCCAACCTAGGCACCACTCTGTTCTTGTTTGGTTTTGGTATCGGGCCGCTCCTCTGGGCGCCTTTGAGCGAGGTGTTTGGGAGGAGAGTGGCCGTCATGGTGCCGATGGTAGCATCTATTTGCTTCACGTTTGCGAGTGGAGCTTCCAAGGACTTGCAGAGTCTGATGATTACTCGTTTCTTTGGCGCCTTCTTCGCCTCCGCGCCCGTCACCAACACGGGAGGCGTATTGGGCGACATGTTTACAGCCTCGTCGAGAGGTTTTGCAATGGCAGGTTATGCTATGGCCGTTGTTGGTGGACCAGCTCTTGGTAAGTACATCTAAGTTTTCAACACAACTAGAGTTACCGAACTCTTCTTAGCAGGTGATAGTATTCGATGCTAATAGATTGACCATATTAAGGCCCCATTGTCTCTGCTGCCTTGGTGCAAGACCCTTCACTGGGTTGGCGTTGGACAGCATACCTTACTGGCATTATCCAATGTGTTGTCCTCTCTCTCGGTGTCATATTCATTGACGAGAGCTACCCTCCCAGGCTGCTCGTCTTCAAGGCCCGTCGCCTACGTCACGAGACCGGAAACTGGGCTCTACATGCCAAGTTCGAGCAATGGGATGTCAGCATCGCCGAGATGGCGAAGAAGTTCCTTGTCCGCCCGCTCCAACTCCTCAGTACTCCCATCTGCTTCCTGGTCGCTTTGTACGCCAGCTTCACTTATGGTATTCTCTACATGCAGCTGGGCGCCATCCCCATTATTTTTGGCGAGCTACGCGGCTGGAGTCCCTTTGTCTCGACCCTGCCCTTCATCTGCATCTTCCTAGGTGCCATCGTCGGATGCGCCGCCAATGTCTTCAACCAACTCCTCTACAACAAAGCCTACCATGCCGCCGGGAACCGCCCCGTCCCCGAGATGAGGCTGCCTCCCATGATGGTCGGATCCGTCGTCTTCAGCGCCGGCCAGTTCATGATCGGTTGGACGGCCCAGCCCTCGATCCATTGGATCGTCCCTTGCATCGGCCTCGTCATGCTCGGCGCGGGCTTCTTCACCATCTTCCAGGCCGCGCTCAACTACCTCGTCGACACCTTCACGGCCTACGCCGCGTCCGCCGTTGCCGCCAACACGTTCCTGCGGTCCTGCTTCGCCGGCGCGTTCCCCCTCGTCGTGGGGCCCATGTTTCACAATATTGGCGTCGGGCCTGGGTCGAGCATCACGGGCGGGTTCGGCGCCCTGCTGATTCCCGTGCCCTTTGTGTTCTACAGGTATGGGAAACGGATCCGGGCGCGGTCGAAGTGGTCCAAGGGCTCGGTTTACGATTGATGAGTTTATAGTAGCATAACATTTTAGCGCTTATACACATTGAAGACAGAATATATTTAATTTTCTTATTTCAATCGCTCACTCTACCCTAGTGATGATTCAATTCTCGTCTACACGAACTCCACATGGCCGAAGAACTTGGTGATGTGGAAGCTCGCCTTGTCAGGCGGGCTCCATCCACCGAGGATCTGGTCAGGGAATGTCTCAGGGCTGGTGATGGTCCTGAAGAAGTTCATCCTCCACTTGGTGCCCTTGGCCTTGCCGGCCTTGACGTTGAACAGGCCGAGGGGGATCTGGGCCACGCTCGTCCACAGGGAGTTCTCCCTGTCCAGGGTCGTGGTGGCGGTGAAGCCGTCCGCAGCCGGGTCGGAGACGAACAGGTGGTCAAAGGGCGCGCCCTCGGCCCGGTTCTCGGAGGGGTTGTAGACGAAGGCCTGGTAGGTCACATTGTTGGGGTTGATCTCGTACTCAAAGTACGTCTGCGGGTCGTCGGTGCCCTTGTAGATGAAGGCCTCGACGACCTCGTACTCCCAGATGTCGCCGTTGGTGGTCTGGTTGGGGTTGAAGAAGAAGTTGGTCTCGTTGTGGGCGGTGAACTTGATCTCAATGGTCTCCTTGTTGTAGCAGAGGCCAATCTCGGTCTTGGCGAACTCGGTGAGGTCCGGGACCGACTTGGTGATGGTCGCGGTGCCCACCGACGGGCATGCTGGCACCTTGAGCGACGGTACTGAGTTGGTTGCTGAAGCCACGGCCGCGAGGCCGGACATGAGCGAGGCGAGATTGGCGAGAGAGGATCGCTGCATGGTGACGGACAAATGAGTATAGGGGCGAGGTAGAGGGGATTGGCAGAAGCTGGCTGGGCGTGAGAAGGGCCCGTCTCAACATATATACCTGATCTCAATTCAAACTTTAATCTCAGCTGCTGTGCTTACCTTCCCCTCACAGACGGACCCCATGAGGTCCCTCTTCCTGGACCCCAGAGTAGGGTTACATCTGGATCATGGTCCAGGGCCTTTGGGAGTGGGCTCTTCACGCTATCTCGTATCTCACAGCAAGGGGCGAGGTGACGCGGATGCGTTACCAGGTAGTAACTGCAACGTAGTAAGCAACATCCATGTCGCGGGCATTCCTCAGTTTGGGTCCTTGTCTCATTGGTCGAGTGGCGACATCATTCACCGACCATTGTTTCATCCAATTGATCTTTTGCCACCAGACAATGATTATAATCATTCACGAGCGCAACTCATACCCCTCTTACCCATTTATTGGTCCTTACTGTCATACAGGTGAATGATATCCCTCGATAGGAATACGTTGATAAAGTGACCAATGCACCTGCATTGATTGTCACTTCAAACTACACCCATGGAGTTCATACAAAAACTATACCTGATGCATGTATCGAACAAAATCGCTCGAAGCATACCAATGATGTGTTGGGAGACTCAAACCTCAAAACTGCTTCCCAACTTGATATATCGTCCTACTCTTTGAAGACTATTTCCAAAATGCATCCCACAAGTCATCAAGATTCTCCCTCCAAGGAGACAACATGTCACGAACAATCTCGATATCAATACCATCAACAGGAGAAGTCTCTTCCAGTAACCTTTCTATTCTTCCACCTTTGAAGCCGTTAACGGTATCAATTATCTTGATACAGCGCAGCCGTGGGAGGCTCGTACGGTAGTGCCTGAACGATTCTTCAATTACGCTAACGATGCTCTCATGCGGCCCGTGGTTACTCAAGTCCGGGAGCCATTTGACATTTTCGTAAATTAAATCAGTTGATAGTGAAAGTTCTTCCACATTGCGAGGGATAGAAGGAATCAAAGATTTTGCGTCGACTCCGCAACCCGCCAGAGCCACCAACGGCACTTCGAACCTTGTTATCCTGTCGAAATCGAGCAGAGAACCCAGAGACCCGTTGGGAGTCATATTTGGGTCGTCACGGAGCCGCCAGTGGCGAGAAAACTCCATTCTAAGCCGAAGGCTCTCCAAAGTAGCTTTAACAGGTGGCAACGCCGGGACGATCTCCTCAAAGTCCATGCCTGTCGCGTCGGGGTAGTATTCCCATTCCAAATAAAGTGACTTGAGGCACCGTGTTCGGGCAAGCAATCCAGCCACCATGGTTGCACAATTGCTCATGACGTCCCGCAAAGTCACGTCCAGTGAAATCAGGTGGTCAAGATCAGGCTCAGCTGTTGGCCAAGGAAGAACCTGCATGTCGCCGAGTGAAACCGCCAAGTCTGTGACCGTTGATAGGTAAAATGTAGTCATCGCAACGTCGGGTGTCTGGACAACAAAGGGGGCGAAGAAGACTAGCTGTTCAAGTCGCTTCCACATGGGAGGCTGGCCCAAGGCTCCGTGCCGGAGAAGCTGTGTAAGAAGATCAGGCGACCGGAGCCAATTGTCAGCAATGGTGAGTCGTCTTATGTTGGGAGCTTGCGCGATCAACAGAGCAGCAAAAGCGTCCACATGGGCCTCCCGGAGTCTTCGCACCCAGAGATTAGTGACTGGTAGTCTGAGCCTTTCTATGATCGGCATATAACTCTGGACTCTATATCCTATAGGCTTTAGAGAATACAGTTTGGTTTCGGCCCTGTCATTTCCACCCAATGCGAGGGTACGGATATAAGCTAGCAGCTCAGGTCTCCGGAGAAGTGTTTGCAAAAGATTGATGATTGGGGGTTGCCAATTTTCAGCATACTCGAACACAACGGTGGAGTAAAGAAAGGGCTCAGCATAGGAGCGAAGGGATTTGTTCACCAGGCAAAGATTTATGAGGCCCGATCTGGGAACGAAACTCATAACATGATCGATGATCTCAGCTGGGGTATCGGAGAAATAATCTCTCTTCCGTCTCGGGCGGGCACGTTTACGTTTGCGCGTGCCCATTTTGATAACCAGATCAGTCGGATGTTGGAAACAAGATTGAGTTAACAGCTGAGAGTGAGATGACGCAAGAATATCTTTATGTAGGTGGAGTTTTCTGCACGTTGCACCGGTTTGGGATTGTGCATATTCAGTCCCGACTTCGCATCAGTAGGTCCCTTATTAAGCAATTGCAGCGAAAGACGTGGGTGTAACCAACTTTATCTAAGAAACATCAAGGCATTGTAGCAAATAGTGAGATACTGCTATCTTAAGAGTGCTTCTTGAGATTCAGGGTAGCAGCAAGCGATTTTGGAGAGCGTTGTCGTGTACGAGACACGGGAGAGTCAGACCTCAAATCGGGGCATAGGCTCATAACATCATGCTTGGACTGATTAATGCTAGGTCTTTGTCATCCATATTATCAAGATCTTGATAAGTAACACCCCATATGGAGTCAGAAGGGACACATTAAGTAATATGCATGCAAATTTCAAGTACTGGCGGAGGAATATACATTGTTGAAAGCTAACGATGGAAAGAAGTATTTGACCTCAGTGATGCTCCATAACGCTTTTCAACCGGAGCTCGTTACTGTACTTGGTCATTATCTGCAAAAAAAAAGAAAGGGTGTCATTTGTGCAATTGTGTACTTTAGCTATTAGGTTTCAGCCAGTCCCCCGGAACACTGGAATCAAGAACGAGACTCTGGTGATGATGTAACCGCGAACAGTCATTCGGTTCTCTGCTTGGTCAGGTAAAGAATAGGCACTCCTCTCAATTGGGTGACAAAAGAAATGAGACACTATATTGCAGACCGCTATGGGCAGACCACTTTCTATGAATCAACCGATATGAACTAACAATATTTAGTGCACTGTCTCTCAGTTGTTCAGCGTTGGCCTTCAATAATCGCAAGATACCGGTCTCGGACCGAAGAATACCACGGGAATTTGTATGTATCATTTTCAACGTTACCAAGGTGCCAGGTGCGGGAGATCTGGCTGAAGTGGATATCCCATGTCAAGCTGTTAGCAGACTCAGTAGAGGTGGGGGTTGCATATATTATGATTAGGATCGCCAGTGACACGTCTGATGCCTGCTTAGGGCTATTAATGGGGTGTCATCACCACCGCACGGGATCAAGACCTCCCTTGCTCCCGTACCGGTAGATCTGGTGATCCTGACAAATCCCAAACTGTCAACGACGATTGAGTTTCCTCTCTGATCTGTGACCCACCTGGCCAAGCCGTTGACTGACACATTATCTGCCTCAAGTCTTATCATAGTCTATAAAGGCTTTGTCAAGTATCAATATCGGATGTAGAAGTAGGTCTCAGTTTCCGTAGAGCACCTTCCGACGCGCTCGCGTCTAGAAAACCCAGGGCGGGATTAGAGAGCAATGAAGATGCTCGTTAGGCTTCACTATCTAACAATACTGGATCAGAGAAAGGACCTTTGTCACATCCCATTGTCAATATCCAGCTTTGACTTGATCAGTTACAGTTTTTTTTTTTTTAGGCTCTGCTTCAAACTCAATGAATGTTCTCATCGTGCCATCGCGCAAGCGGAAGGGGTGATTTGAGATTTAAGACAACCGGATGAACAGCTGGGACGAGACATTGAATGTCGTACCCCGGCTATGTCATGCTATCTCGCCGGATGCCGATTAGAGGCTAAAGATTCTCCCTTCACTTCCTCCAGGGTTTGGGGATCTTTTGTGTCAATCTTCCGTTTACATAAGTAAGACATTACCGCAGGGGAGATTAAACTAAGACACCCATTTCTGTGATAGGTTGGCGGTTAGCCGTCGCGTCTTCACCACTCTAGGGTGATGATGATCGCCAACGAGAAAAAGGAAAAACAAGAAGATCATAGATTGGCCCTTGTCCCTTGCTTCCGAGGCCGTCCCATGACCCTTGCCATCACGGACCTTCATAAACGCAGACATCGTCCAAATCGGCAAATGGAAAGCATCGCCTCGGTTTCTGTTTTCCCACAATTCACTCACTTCTTACCCCTTCATCCAGATATTTAGACACATTTTGGGTCCCACCTCATTGGCAAGATGTCGTCTAATCAAGATGAGGCCGATATGGGGCTACGACTAGATGGAGCTGGTATTTTCTGGGGGGTATTCGCAACCCTATGGACAGCCGCCGTTGTGTCTGGCATAACCTATCTCATCTCCAACCGCGGCTCACCAACCTTGCGTATTCGCGGCCTGTGTCTATCCATATGTGCAGTCATCTTGCTGCACTTATATTGGATCACTGTCCAGCTTGGCTATATTGTGCGCAACAACATGCCGGGCGATGGTGAGTACTGGATCATGGGCACCTGGCTCCCGTTGGGCATTGCTATATTCCACGCCTCGAACAGCCGTTTCCTCCACGTTGCCAAAGCTCAAAAACGATTTGTGGGCAAGGTGGAGGAGAACCCGGAGGCAAGTAGCTCCAAGGGAGTGTTTGGGTTTTACCGGCGACTAGACCACATCAACAAGATGGGCATTCTAGTTGGAGCAGGCATCACAGTTCAAGTAAGTTTATTCCCCCGCGTGACGCTTCATACGTTCTGACTGGTAACAAAATAGATTACTATCACCATTACCATGTACCTGATATCCCGTAAATGGCACGAATCGTGGGGAATTCCCGGCACCGAGGTCCAGGCATCGACAGAATTCGAGAGACGAGAGAAGATGCTCAGGGGTTGGGAATGGTATGACATGATCTCAGGGTGAATAAAGTGTCTAGCAAACTAATCACGTTCTCCAGGTGGCATACGGTATTTTGGCAATTCTTCTGGGCGTGGATCTTCGCACCCATCATCCTCTGGCGATCGCGAAAAATTTACGACACTCAAGGATGGAGGCTGCAAACCATCGCTTGCTGTGTCTCTAGGTAAGAGGTGATCGTCAAAAACTTTCCAGCCTCCTACTAATTGCTTTTACAGCTTGCACGCCTCCCCAATGTGGTTGATCGCCTTGTACGTTCCTCAGATGGAAAAAGTCAACCGCTACTTCATTCCTCCTCAATGGTATGCCCTCTGCATCTGAGACATTGGTCGGCCATTAGTAAATCCTCCCTTGCTAACATCAACCAGGATCGCGGTCTCCATCATGTTCATAGAAATCTTCACCATTTTCCTCCCCTGCTGGCAAGTCATGCAACAGCAAAATCTCCGCCAGGAAGTTCTCGATACGATTGCCCAGTGGGAAGCCAAAAGCAACCTCCCCGTGACGAGTGGCAAATCCATGATATCCGGATCGACCGCAATTGAATCGCTGGGAAGCAAAGACTCAGCGTTCACCTCACACTCGAATGAGAGCATCTTGACGATGGGTGCGCTCGAACACGTCCTGCAGCGCAATCCAGGGCCCCTCCTGGAATTTTCTGCGCTCCAGGACTTTTCGGGCGAGAATATTGCTTTCCTCGTAGCAGTGGCAGCCTGGAAGGCTGGCTTCACTGCAGAGCTTGATGCGAAAGAGCAGGGCGAAGGGAAGATGCTCAACACCCAATACGAAGATGCCCTCCGCATCTACGCCGACTACGTAAGCTCTCGAGACGCCGAATTTCAGGTCAACCTTCCTTCTACGATCCACAAGAAACTCGAAGACATGTTCGAAAAGTCAACCCGTGAGGCTTACGGCGACCGAAGCGAAGTCAATCCTGCCACGCCATTTGATGTTCTGGATTGGCCCAGACGTAAGGCTTCCGGGTCTTCAAACTCATCGACCATAACGACAACAGAGGAGGCCGGGCAAGTAGCAGAGGGATTCAGCAAAACGATATTTGATGAGGCAGAGCAAAGCATAAAGTATCTCGTGTTAACCAACACCTGGCCCAAATTTGTGAAGCAGCGCCAGTCGTCTATGGTTTCTTCCATGGAAGTCTGATGCGGATGTCTCCCAATACACAATAGGATTTGGGGACATAGTAATAGTAATAGGCAATATAAATAGTACATACCTTTATCTCACCGAAATTCTTTTCAGTTCTTTTGGTATTACCTTGCCAATCAAGTCACTTTGCTCTAATCATCTAGATTTACTTCGGTTCGGCTTGAAAAGAACCCACGAAAGCAAGACACTCAGAGTCGCCAAAATGATAAAATGAAAAGACGGACAAAGACATATGCTTGATAAGGAAAATCTGCGTCATGATTACGACGACAGTGTGGGATGCCATCCAACCTAGTTGAGGCTTGTTCTCCCGTTCACATCCACCTCCATTCTCAAAAGCAAATGGGGAATAGAAGATGACAAGGCCAAGAAACTGCCTAAGTCTTGTTGAGGAAGGTGCTTTCAAATACTGATGAAATGTGACAAAATCCACTGCAAAACTATTCCGTGACCCACGCAAAGAATTGCGTGATCTCTCTTTTGCAACAAAATTCAGTGCTCCCCTTGAAGCCCCTCACGGCACCCTAACACTTAAGCTTGAATTAAACCTTTGCCAAGCTTTACGCCACGGCCCTTCTTCAGGATAGCCAGCCGTTTAGTGGTTCGCTACAATGCAGGTCGGCCGGCTTTGAATGGTAATGTCGCCATCGGGACTGGGAGGCAGCCCTTCGGACGCGACATGCCCATGTTACGCCAAGGGTTCTATCCATGGTAGGACTTTACTTGTATACTGGGGCTTAGTACCGCAAAGAATCGAACCATGCGCTAGAAACCCCCTCAAGATAACGCTGCGTCCAATGACAGAGACTGAATAATGATGTGGCCAAGAGATACACAATCCATGTGGAGGTTTGAGAGACAGCGCCCCAACAATGGGCACTGCTCTCCCTGCTCTCCCACTACTCCTACAACCCATGAATGACATGGTAATACAGTCAGCTTTCACCTCGCACGCAATTGGTGAACTTGATCAGCGGCGGTGATTCAGGGGAGTGACCCAATATGAGTGGGTTCCAAAGAAAGAAGATTCGTCTTTCCAAGATGTAACCTTTTTGATATTGCGTCAACATACCCTTGATACCCACTGTTCTCTTGGCCTACAACATGGTATATCTTTTCA